AGAGGGAGAGGGAGGGAGGGACAGGGAGAGAGAGAGAGGAAGAGAGTGAGTGTGTGTGTGTGTGTGTGTGTGAGTGTGTGTGTGTGTGTGTGTGTGTGTGAGAATCATCTTACATGGGTCTATTTTACAGAATTTTGCTCTGTCCAACAATCCTACAGCCGGCACCCCATAAAGATTGGTGTCACTCCACTGTTTCCCGCCATTGCAGCCTCACTATTCCCGGGGACCTCCCACACTCATGCTGTGATTACTAGGGCAGTTCACACAGCCCAGCCGTGGGCCTAGGGTGTGGGCATTGGTGCCTAAATGGGTCTTTGGTGCTGGGTTACTCCCACATCGGCATGCTTCCCTGGCAGAGATGGTTTCTGAAACTGTCTCTCCAGGCTTTGGGGAAGACTCCTATCATTTCTAAAAATTCTGGTCTTCTAGCATTCTTTAAGCTCTAGTTTGAGCTGATTCCATCCTGCTGCCTGACAGTGGGAACACCGAGGGCCAGATCTGGGGTAGAATGCGGCTGTGAGCACACATTCCTGCCTTCACACTCCTATCCTAATGGACGAGAACGTCATGACTGGGTTACATAATTCCATCCTAAACAGAATCTGCATCCCAGGTGTCCATGTGAAGAAAATTAATAACTGAAGAGAATAAATCATAATCAACCCAAACAACACAGACATTTCAGTTGCTGATGTGCCACGAGCATATTAAAGTGTCTTTGGGTTTGGTGCCGATCCAAGCAAACACGTATTAAAGTTTCATCACAATTCTGACAAGCATCAGATCAACTTCATTTGAGAACTGTTATTCTCCCCTGTAGGGATCAGGAACTGGTCTCCATTAAAATGTGTTTCAATCACATATGTCCAAACTGCAACTAATTTAGACACACTAAGTATTCATTCAGCCCTCAGTCGTAAGAGCCAAAAGTAATAACAATGCTTCTCAATTATGGTCTCCCCACTAGCGCCACCAACATCCCATCACCTAAAATGGTGATGCTTCCATTCTAAATCCCAAAAAAATCTCTGTGTCAACTGCCCAAGTCAAAGACAGACCTGCTCCCTCTCGTAAGATATAACATTCTGGAAACTAACTAGGGAAAAGCATAGATGAGTTCAAAAATGGAAAATGGAAAGCAACAGGTAACTATCAACTATCCAAAGGAATGGTGAGAGGAGAGGCCTGTCGCTGTACATTATGCCGTAGATATCCATGTGTTATGCAAAAAGTGGGTGTGATTGCAGAAAATCACATCAGATTGGGACAAATGCCCGCACCTCTGCTGAAGGAAGGCTGGCTGGTAAAGGACAGTGAGGAAGGGGCTCCCAACCACTGGGAAGGATCCACACAAAGTGACAAATGTCGCCCGTGACCTGAGAGGCCACACTGCATTCTCTGGGAGACATCTGAGGTCATATGTAAGACATCACGCTCCTGCCAGGCTCTGCAGGGACCTAATCTCTACCAGCACATGATCTGCAGCTTTGAAGCAGTTGATCTCACTCTAGAAGAATCGGGAGGCAGTGCAGGAGGGACCTGGATAGCAGGACGGCTGAATGTTACATGCAGCAATCAGAGCATTCTGATCAACAGCTCTGAAAGCTGGCCTCTCTTCCACAGGCATGAGTGGCTCTCAACACAAACAGCCACCTGCACTCATTTTTATTTATAAACTTGAAGCTAACACTATTTGAACACTCACATTTATATAAATTGGAATTATATTTATATTTATAAATTTATAGCCAGGGTGGTCTTGCACCTGCTTGGAAAATACTGAGTAACCGCAGGCTGGGTCAGACAGCAGGGAGTCCTTTAGATACACCAGCCACCTCTGCCCCATGGGTCCCAGCACTTGTCTTTTGTCTGTTTTTTTTTTTAAATTGTGATATATTTTAAATGTTTACATTAAAAAAGGTACATTTACATTTGTACAATCTTTACACAGCAGAAAAATATGTCATATAATTGTGCAATTCATAGAGCTTACATAAAATATTAATTCAGAGACTGCACACATCTTAACAGCCTAAAAGAAACCAGCAGTCCCACAACATTCCCTGTAGGAACCCACACAGCTGAAGAAATGAGCATTATTAGAATGCTGGAAAAAGGAAACCAGATGAACTAACTCCACGGTCGGCCGGGGAGCCTATACCCAAGGCCCCTCCCCAACACTGCTCTATGGCCACAGTACCAGAAGTCCTTCCCCTGGGGTCCTTACCTGCTTCTGGAAATTAACTTCAGGCAAACAGGTGCTCAACTGTGACAGACGGGCTGTGGCCGGGGAGAAATAGGAAGGTGCGGCCCTGTGGAAACACATAATGTGGGTCATGGGAGGAGCCGGGAGGGCCCCAATGGCTGCCAGAGATTAACCTGGAGCATACGCCCCATGCTGACAGATGCAGGACCACTGACAGGAAGCTCATGGCAATGGGCTCTGCTGCAGTCCAGAAATACCTGCGTGTCTGGCCAACCCAGGGAACCTGCACCAACACCTCTGGGATGAGGTGCTGACTGCAGCAATGCTCGCCTGTCATTTCCGGCTGAAGCAGGTCACCACTCACCCTCCTCCTCCCCTTGGGTTAGTCACCAAGTCCAATTGAGAGCTGTGCTCAGAGACGTCGAGGACCAGAGTGAATCACTCCAGGACAGCTGATGGGCATGTCCTGCACCTGCACGAGAAGGCGTCCCACCCACCAAACACAGCCTGACGAGCCAGGCACAGGTCCCTGGGCGCTCCACCTCCTCTGCGCTCAGATGTGCATTATGTTTGTTGTGTGCCTGGTGAATAGCTGTGGTTGTGTATGTAAACATTAACATACACACACACAGAAACACAGTTGCAGATAATTTACAACCTACTAGCCTGACCACATGTGTACTTGCCCCAAACACACCTCTTCCAGGAATCAGAGAACACTGTCTTCTTTTCTCTTGCCTCCCCCACACAAGCTCATCGTTCGGGTCCTCTGAAGGTTAACTTGGCAGGAGTGTGACTGTGGATGGGCAGGGGGCACAGGGAGAGGCACGCAGGGGCACCAGAGAGTCTCACCCGCCCATGCAGCCCGGCCAGCTCGTCCACTGTGGTGCAGACCTCAGAGCATCTAGTTTAAAGGTGGACTCCCAGCTCTCAGCCCTGCGCTGACGATCCAGAGGTCTGAGGATAACCGTTTGAGAAACCTGTTCTGAGGGAGGTGCAGGACCAAGGGAGCTTTGAAACCCCCGTCTTCACTGATTTCTACAAAGAAAGCTGCTTATTCACCCAAGGGGCTGAGGAAAACATGTTTTACAGAGAAAGTGAGATTCTAAAACCCTCTCCTACAGGTAGCCCTACAGGCCACTCCAACCTCTGGGTCTCTGTTCTGTGTATCCCTTCCACCAGCGGATGGCCCTGGGATGGAAGAGTGGTCACCCACCACTGCCACCCACTCCGCCCTCAGACTACCCCTACAGGAACAGACATTTATAGCGGTTAATTGCTCTTTTATTCCTCTACATATCAAAGCACCAAAATACCAAGGAACCCTGGGGGAACTTTCCACCCAAGTCCCCACAGTCCTTCAAAAAGAGATGAAAAGAGACAACTTTCTCCCATTTCTGAGGGGCTTTAATTTCTTCAACTACCACAACAGCCAATTAGCCTCCCACTGTCTACAGGGCTCGGATCCTTCCAAGAAGCAGAGAGGAACTTCATATTCATGACTTTAAGGAGAAGGCATCAAAGGGATGCTGTGGTGTTCCCGACGGGACTGTCCAGGAACTCATGGCCAGCTGTTCTATTTGCCATTTTATGATCAGGTCAATGTTCCCAATTTACAGAGGAGGAAGCTGCAGCTCCAAGTCCCTGGGGCCCCAGACCAGCGTAAGAGAGCATGCTCCAGGAGCTGGATTCTGTTTTGGTTCTGCTCTGTTGCTGATCGCTGTGCAACCTGAGGTCGGTCACTGCTCTTCTCGCCCTTCATTTCGCCATTTGTAGAAAGGAAATCATGATCTACCATGTTTCCCTCAGTGGACACAACGAGACCGGGGCTGGCTTCAGGAGCCTGAGGCCTGGGCACTGAGAAAAGCTCCACTCTTGGCTTAACACTCTGCTGTTGCCATCTTGAAATTCTTAATAATTTTCGAAGAAGGGGCCCTGCCCCGGGCCCCACAAATTATGTAGCTGGTTTGGAATGAGAAAAAGGAGGTCAGGGTGCCTCTCAACGTGCCAAGGGCCCCATTACCTTAAGTAGACACTACATGAACTCAAGACGGATTTACTAAAACCTTTCTAGGTGTACACAGCCCCGAGTCAGGCTCAGGAGCGGCAGATACAAAAGTGGGGCTATGGTGATGGGCCGGCTCTGTGGCTTAGCAGTTAAGTGCGCGCACTCTGATGCTGGCGGCCCGGGTTCGGATCCTGGGCGCGCCCCAAGGCACCACTTCTCCGTCCAGCGCGAGGCCGAGTCCCACATACAGCAACTAGAAGGATGTGAACCTATGACATACAACTATCTGCTGGGGCTTTGGGGGGAAAAAAATGAATAAATAAAATCTTTAAAAAAAAAAAAAGTGGGGCTATGGTGAACATGATGTAGTCTACACAGAAATTGAAAAATAATGATGTACACCTGAAATTTATATAATGTTATAAACCAATGTTACTGCAATAAAAAAAAAAGAGTGGGGCTATGACACTGAGCCTGCCTTTCAGGAGATGACCAAACGGCTGAGGAAACCACACTACACAAGGCAAGTGGAAAACAATACAAAACAACACATAACAATGAGCCAAAAAGATGTGCCAGGTTAAGATACAAACACTTCCAGAGTGCCATCCACATGTAATGTACCACACCCAGCACCTCCCCCTGAGCAGCTCAGAGGCAGGAGGAAAAAGACCCAGGGCCTTGATCCACTGTAAGAAGTGGCAGAGCAAGACGAAGTGTTTGCACTGCGAGAATATAGAGGAAGAGGAGGAACTAGCTGTCGAGGGCTCCAGGGAGTAGACACTGGAGCTGGGTCTTGAAGGATAAATAGGAGTTGGCTGGCAGAGAGCAAGGGGAAGGGACAGGGAACAGACGTTCTCCGAACAAACAACTACTGAGCATCTATTACATGTCAAGCCCTGTGCTGGGCACAGGTGAGCAAAATAGCCTTGGTCTGCTTGTGATGAAGGGCTCCCACTCAGCGGGGAAGACAGATGTTAATCAAGTCATACCCAGGTAAACGCATTCTCAGACACTGTGATAAATGGCCCGAAGGGTAAACTCAAGGTGCCCTGAGGACACGCAGCTGGGAGACTGACCTAGCCCTGGGGGAAGGCATCCCCAGGAAGTGACTTCTGAGCCGTTACCTGAAGGATGAGGAGGAGCTAGGTGGGGGGCCACTTCTGTGTTCAGGGGCACACATGTGTAAAGGTCCTAAAGCAGGAAGAGCCGGGGCCTTTGGATAAACTGGAGGAAGAAGGTGTGGCTGAGGCCTTGGGAGCCAGGTGAATGGGCTCCAGGTGAGCCGGCGCTGGGCCAGGTGGGTCTCTATGAGGGTGAGCACAGGTATTCAACACTGGGGAGTCAGGTGGAGTCTGAGCTTTACAAGACCACTGTGGCTGCAGTGTGGAGAAGAGACTGGGGCAGAGCTGGAGGGCAAGTCCCCTCAGGACCAGGTGAGAGCCGGGTTTTGGCTAGGGGTGATGGAGAAGGGATGGTGAGGATGGCAGGGTTTGGGACACTTCGGCAAGTGGAAGTGCCGGCCGGGAGCAGTGTAGGAGCCAGGACTGTCACCGCAGCTGCAGGAAGGGGTGTGGCGAGGCCTGACGTGAGAGCTGCCCAGCCTGCCGGTGAAGGCCCTGAGGACACGCTGAGCAGCTGGATGGGACTCCACAGGCCACGGAGAAGACTACGGGGACTGGAAAGCAGAGTGGATTCATCCTTAAGACAGTCGGTAGCACTGTGAACGTCTGTGAAGTGTTCCGGAGGCAGGGTCAAAACGTGGTGACCGACCAGATCTGGGAACTATCTAGGGCACTTCTGGGAGACACTGTGCACTGGATGGGGTGGCGGGGTAGGGGCACTTTGGGAAGAAGGAGTAACACGAGTGAAGGTGAAGAACTGGAATCCTGGCGATGCCACTTAGCAGCCATGTGGCCTCGGCGAACATTCATTCATTCGATCAACAAATTTGTTGAGCACCTACTATGTATTGGGATACATCAGTGAAAAAACAGTCAAAAATCCCTATGTACATTCTAGTGAGAGGTGAGAACAGACAAAATAAAATAAACAAAAATTAACCAATGGGTGTATAATGTAATATGGAAGAGGCGATAGGTGCTATGATAAAAAACCAAGCTGGATGAGGGGGAACAGGAGTGCGGGGTGGTCAGGTGGGCCTTCCCGTGCAAAGACATGAAGGAGGGGAGGAGTGAGCCGTGGGAAGCCCAGAGCAGAGCTGGACAGAGACCCTGGGGTGGGAGCGGGTGGGGTGTGTGTTGGAGGACCAGCAAGAAAGGCCCTGGATGGGGCAGGAAGGAAGAGAACGAGGGGAGGAGGGAGAACAGAGGAGCGCATCACAAGTGAGAACCCCACTTTGACCTGTAAGGAAGGGTAGCTACTGCGAGGCTGTGATCAGAGGCATGGCCTGGCCTGACTTGGGTTTTAGCAGGGCCACCCTGACTCAGAGCAAGATTGAGGGGCGAGAGTGGAAGCGGGGGGACCAATGAGGAGGCCGTGGCAGGAACCCAGGCAAGAGGGAGGCAGCGGCAGTGGGGTGCGGGGCGGGCAGGACATCAGGAGGGCCAGCGGGCGTGGTGTGGGGCGTCAGAGGAGGGGCGCATGACGGTGACTCCCAGGTTTTGGGGCTGAGCAACTGAAAGTGGGCGTTCCTATCAGCCAAGATGTGTGAGATACAAGTGAGCAGTTTTGGGGAAAGACAAGGAGCTGAATTTTAGACAGCTTAGAGCCTTTCCTATCTCTAAGCCTCAGTTTCCCTATCTGTAGACGCGAGTGACAACGGGACCTGCCTCAAGTGCTGGCTGTGAAGATTAAGTGAGGCAACACAGCAAGAAAGCACTAGGCACAGCGCCTGGTGCACAGCAAGTACTCAGTAGATATTAGTTACTGTCACTAATGACAAGATCAGCAGGTGACATAGACAATGTAAGTAAATGATATTTTTGCTCTGGGATGAGGGGTGGGAGTAAAATTAAACAAACAATTAAGAATTCTCAGATTTAAAATACCCTACCTTCTTTTTCTCTCTTCTTCCCTCCTAGTTCACCCATCAGCCCCCAACTGGCTCCAAGGAACGATAAGGGGTGAAGAGCTATGCGGGGGCGGGGAGAACAGGACCTCATTTCCA